CTTTCTCTCTTTCTTCTTCCCCCCAATCGCCAATGCCGTCTCCACCTTTGGGGTACCCTGAACCCGGCTGGAGCTGGTCTCCGGCAAAAAGATAACAAATTTTTTTTTTCTCTAGAAAAAGTCACTGGAGTGTACTCATATAGTAAATATGTTGCATGTTTATATTAAATTATAGTTCAATCATATTAATGATACTGAGCCAAATTGTCAAAGCAATTAATATTTATTCTTTCTGGGTTCAAAGCATAAATTAAAAAAAAACTAGGGTGAACAACCTCCTCTTTGTCTTCTCCATCATCTTTCTCTACCCCTTCCTCCTATCTTCCTCTTCCTCCCCCTATTTTTTTCTAAATCATCTTCCTATCGATTCTTCTCTTTGCTTTGTTTTCAGAGTTTAAGGGAAAAACTGTTCTTTAAGATTTTGTAAATCATCCCCAAAGAGGGAGGCTTGATAAATTATGCTAAATGTTCAAGCTTACAAAGCATAGATCTCATAATTCATCCTTTGCCCTTCTCTCCCTAATATAAGCTTTTGGTAGGGAAATTGTGTCTGAAAACTTCTATTTAAATTACTAGTTATATGTGTGCCATAAAGCATGGCCACATATATGTCCCTGTCACAACCATACAGAGAGGGAAGACATCCTCCAACAGGACAAGATAGAATATGAGAGGATAAACTGTATAAAGCAATGATTGGGTTATGTTTTTTTTTTCCTCCCAAGACTCTGATGTAGAAACCAGAGGAAGTTAGACATACATAAATTAACCTTTAAGAAAGATTACAGTTCTGTTCACATACGTCTTTTCACTATAGAACATAACGTTTTATTTAGTAAATATACCAACACAAAGTATCTAGGACTTTATGACCATTTTGTACCTAATTAAATCAGAGAAACAAGAGGATAAAAAAAGCCTGGAGAGAGAGAGAGAGAGAATCACATGGGAATGATGCACCCATGAAAAGAGATGGCTAAGAAGATAGAAAGGGGAATTAAGAGAGGTCACTTCAGGATGCTTGAAAGTAAACAGGCTTCGATGACATCTAGTTACTCATTCAGATTTCAGGAGCACCGTGGGCAACATATTTTATTTCTTTATCTTATTTTGTTTTGTTTTGTTTTAGTTGTGGGTGACACGTGAGGATTTACTGCATAAATAAAATGCAGTTTGAACTTCTAGTGGGCCCTCTCTCCCCTGGATAGTGGACCTGGTACCCAGTGTGTTGCTGTGTGCCCCTTATCTCTCCTCCTTCCCTCCCTCCTTTAGCAGTGTCCAGCATCTGTTGTTTGTGCTCACGTGACCAGTGGTCAGGGCCCACTTCTGAGTGAGAACATGTGGTATTCAGTGCTTTGTTTCTGTGATAGTTCATTTAGTACGATGGTCTTGAATTGTACCATGTTGCTGCAAAGGACATGGCTTTGTTCTTTATGACTACAGAGACACTGTATTTTAAATTACAGCCCAGACATATTGAATTATACCCTCTCTCTCTAACTGTTTGGCACAATACAGTTTATGGAGAGAATGGGAAGAGGATGATATTGTAATTTTCCAAAATTGTATTAGGCAAAAGTTTTTTTCAGTTACAAGTGTGCTTCAGAATATATTTGCATGCTTTCAGTTCTTTTAACAAGGCAAGCACTGCTGCAATAATATAAGCATAACCTAAATATATCCCATATTTTAGAAGTTTACATGTTCTTATTCTGTCAATTAACAATGGCTTCCTTTTTTTCTGGAATACTGAATTTCAATCTGGAGATTTCTCATCTTGTCTTCTTGAAGTGTATTTACATTTAATCTCTACTTTAATAGAAAATAAGTTGGTGTCTGAGTGTATTTCTAAAGAGACTATGCTGCTATTCACAAGCTTAAAGAGAACAACAGTTGGCCCTCATACTATAGACTCAGGGAAATGAGGTCACGGACTATATCTAAGCCAGAAATTTTTCATATTCGCCTTAGGGAGGGTTAAGAGTTAGGATGTTTCTATTGTATTTTATGTGCATGGAGAAAGTACATATTTCTTAAAAGTGTATAAGCAAAAACTTTTTTCAAGAATTTTAAATCTAGTTCAGTGTATCCATATCTAACCAATATAATCCCATACCTTAACAATCTGTGTAGAAGAAAAGAAGATAGAAAAAAATTTTTTAAACACTTTCTTTCTTCCTTTTTGATTCGCAGGAGGACTTTGGAATCATTAATTGGATATGAAAGTATACTTCCTTTGTGGCCAGGTTTTTGGGAGAATTTTGTTCTTTTTGTTTAGATATACAGATTCCTAGAATTTCTTTCTCCTTCTCTGTCACCATCTCCTTTCCAAATTATTTTTCTTACTTGTTTCATAGACAAAAACATCTTATAGGTCTAAATATATTGAGAAATTTGGAAGGTGAAAGGTGGTAGTTTATTACTTGTGTGAGATCATCTTCATTTATTTGATTTGTATTTTTTTATTATAACAAGCCCTATATCAATCATTAAGAGCTATTGCTATTCAACAATGGAAAGAACATGAATACATGCCCTAAAAAACATTACAGAAGTATCTGGGCCCAAGGCACAATTCTTAGACAGGAAACAAAAGCAAAGTATGTTTCTTGGTGCTGGAATTATACTTTTTTTTTTTAACAGAAATGAGGATAAATTTTATTTATTGCTTTTGAATTTTATCAAAAAATTTATATGAATTAATTTTTTTATCTTATCTTTTTATTTATTTTTTATTATGAAGTTGTGGGGTACAGTTAAGGGTTAGGCATTCAATTGCGTTTCATTCAGGCACCCTGTTGATATGGGGTATTTCCCCGTTCCCAGACAATGAATTAATTTATAACTCTATTGCATGTGAATTTATAGCCTTATTGAAAATGATAATATGTATATGTATGTGTATATTAAAGTTGATTCATTACTTGTAAAAATTAGGTCATGGCTGGGTGCCATGGCTCATGACTGTAGGAGGCCAAGATGGAAAGATTTCTTGAGCCTAGGAACTCAAGACCAGCCTGGACAACATAGCAAGATTTTGTCTCTACCAAAAATCAAAAAACTAGCTGGGGGTGATGGTACATACCTGTAGTCGCAGCCACTCAGAAGGCTGTTGTGGAAGGATCACCTGAGACCAGAAGGTCAAGCCTGTGGTGATCCGTGATTGTGCCACTGCACTCCAACCTGGGCAAAAGAGTGAGACCCTGACTCAAAAAAAAAGAAAAAAAAAAAAGATGAAGTCAATAGTTTAATTTATATTTAAAAATGAAATTATATTTTTTAAGAGAGAAAATAATTTAAGAATAATCTTTCAAGTTGATGTTCCATCTTGATTAAGTTATTACATGCTTTGGCTAGTATATCCCTTTAGGAAAATTTTAAGCATATGTTTTTCATTGAAATAGGTAAAGAGCACCTGGGCTTAAATTTGCGGCTGTCTTCCTGTCACGTAGACCTTCACCAGGCATCCTCCTGTGCTAATGGGACCTGCGGGCATGCTTTTGTGTACTACACCGCTGTTACAGATTTTTCTCGAGATGGAGACAGAGTTACAGACATTGTAGTGCTACCTATAGTTAAAGAGGATTTCCTGTGGAACAACTACATTCCAGACAGCATCCAGGTTGACACATCACAAAACTATCTTCATAATTTAAGTTTTAACAAGATACGTATATTTGATCACTATAGCTTGTAAACTTTTTATTGAAAAATTACTTGATAAATTATTTTGATGTTTAAATGATTCAACTTTTAATAACTATGATAAAACAATAATTAATTGAAAAATGTACTGAAATTGCTAAGCGATTTATTATATATCACTGAATAACAATTTTTGGTAATATTTACTAAAAATATCTTTGCTTTTAAGATCAGAGTAAAGGATGTCCCAACTGCTTACTGCTATTCATTTACTGACCCACATATAATTACATTTGATGGCAGGTAATTTTCTGAAAGCTTTTCCTTTTAGTAATTTTTGTTTGTTTTGCTTTTGTTTTATTTTAAAGAGAATACTGGTTTATAATTTCTTAGTCACTGAAATTGAAAGGAAGGAATGTGTGGCCATTACTGACTTTTTTAAGATACTAGTTTATTTGTGAAGAATTTTTCCTTAAAATCTAGTTTAGTAAAAAAAGAGCTAGCTGTGAGATGAAACATGTAAAAAATAAAGATCATTATTTTTACAGACTACCAGAATGAAGATGATTTATCTTTGCTTGACCATTTATTTTTAATCCTGATTAAGTTATTTGCTCTAGAAAAATTTACTGGTTTTGCATTTCTATATGATAAGAAAGCATCTTTAATGTTTTGGAAAAATGTACACACATAATAGAATTTTTTTTTTTTGAGTTGGAGTCTCACTCTGTCGCCCAGACTGGAGTGCAGTGTTCCTCTCCCGGCCACCGCAGCCTCGACCTGCTGGGCTCCGGCGATCCTTCCGCCTCAGCCTTCCGAGTAGCCGGAATTACAGGCACGCGCTACCAAGCCCA